CTTAAATACCAAGTTTCATAGAAATCTGATAATTTTTTAAAAATTCGTCCGTCATATTGAATCCGCCATTTTGAATTTTGAAAATCTGACTCCAGATTCGTAATCAGCGACCCCAAAAACCCTTTAGACCTTATTTTCAGCTTATTAATTATTGTTGGTTAGTCACAATTACATTTATTGTATAAAAAAGCAGTATTTTTGTAGTTTGTTTATTTATAAAATACATTTGCTTAACAATAAGAATGTTTTCAAAATTTTTTAATGACAACTGATGTTCTACATAACTGATAATATGCTTTTTACTGTACAGATGTGTTGAAAACTATGTAAAAAATATAAAAAACTAAGGGCAAAAAAGTATCCAGTTTACGGTACACTATGCCGGAAAGGGTTAAGGGACGCCGCACACGAATTGATATAACAGTAACGTACCGTAAGAATTGACCAATCACTTTGAGTATCTTCGAACCGTAAGATCGCCATTTTTGTGAATACTCGATTGGAATTGGTCCATTTTTACGGTACATTTTGCGTTACTATTATGTTAATTTGTATGCGGCGCCCCTTAACCCTTAGGAATCTGACCTCAAATTGTCGAAATTCAAAATGGCTCGCAATCGCAAGATCGCAAGGAAATTGACCAATCATAATTGATTATTCTTTGATCGCAAGAAGAACAATCGACTATGATTAGTCAATTTCTTTGCGACCTTGTGATTTGCGACTAAAGCCCATTCTACAATTGCGTAAGCGTAGTCGTGAACGTAAGAGTCAACCAATCCGAATGTTTTATTCACTGATTGCTTTACTTTGATTGGTTGTCGTAATCACTTACAACACTTACATCCACGTTCACGCAATTGTAAAATGGGCTTAATGTAGAATGAGTTTTATGTCATTATACAAGAATGTGTGCTTTCCGCTTAAATATTTTATATTTTGTCTTTATATATGTATAATTTATGTACTGTCTCTCTTACTATTCGTTTTATAAGCCGATTTTAACTTTTTTTTTACAAAAGTAACGGAAAGTAACGATTTTTTATCGTTACTTTTCAAATAACGGTAACGAGTTACTTTTTAGAATCAGTAACGAGTAACGGTAACGAGTTACTTTTTACTGCAAGTAACGGTAACGGTAACGCGTTACTTTTAAAAAGTAACGTTCCCAACTTTGATTATGAGTAAATTTAATAAATGAAACAAACGTTAACCGCGAAAGGTGAATTCTCAAAACATGAAATATATCACGTGAACTTTCAATTTGCTCGTATATGTTCTTCTTTACATGTAAATTGTATAAGTTTCCATGAAAATTTTTAAGTATCAAGCGAGGGTGTATATCAGTTGGACACGGGGCAATTGGACACAGTCCAATCACAAGTCGCTGTTCCAAGGGACCCTACAAATGTCTCTAATTACACGGTGCTGTGATTGGCTGTGTCCAAATGCACCGTGTCCAAGTGCACCGCTCCCTCAAGCGATGTGGTTTAAATGTGGAAAATAATGTAATACTACACTAGCATATTATGTACAAAATAAGTAGAATTCCTTATAGGCCAGTATTCATAGTCGAATCTTATTTCAAGATTGTTTTAAGTAATGTCTTAAGATGCGAATACAGCTCTGTGATTGGTTCATGACATATTAAGACAGTACTTAAGTTGATCTTAAATATAAGATCTGACTATGAATACCGGCCATAATGACTTTAATTTTTATGGTTATACGACAATTGGCATTTGAATCCTACGTTCATTAAAAATGAACAACGAAAGCCAATTGAAGCGTGATGACGTATAGGAAAGCATACCGACGAAGTTTGCAAAGTTAAGATACGTATGCATCAAAAAGTTAAAGTATAATATATTATAAATTGTATGCAGTAAGTAAAATGTAAGTTTGTTTTATTATTTTTTGCAGGTTTTTTATGTATTATTTATTGCAGGTATTTTATGTATTATTTTATACGAAATATATGTTTTCTGCAGATTTATAATTTTAATATGAATAGAATATTTTATCTTTTAATAATTTATCCTAAAGTAATCCCAAACAAGCATACTTCCAAGGGACGTTCTAAAGACATCACTATGTCTTAAAAAATGCTGAAAAAATTCTAAAGATGACCATTGCAAATTGGTCAATTGGTTGTCTTGAGTATATTGTAATATTTGTTTTACTTACAAATTCACGTTAAATCTTTCATTTTTCACGAGTTTAATGAAGGTTTTCATTTTTCACGAGTTCATTACAAAATTTTTACTTTTCACAAGTTCACACTAGGAGAAAAGATTCATGATCGCTACCCAGGGTACCTATTATGGATTGTTTCTGATAATACTTCTCCGAGTCATTTCTCTAGAGCAGAAATAAGTTACAGACATCACCATCTACTACTATTATGTGATTCATGACAACCCAAAGCTACCTAAAGTTAGTGGCACACAGAAAAACTTATAGCGAATTCGGTTGCTTGCACTAGTGTGCACTGAGTGCGCACTAAGGCTTGTTCATAGTATGTTATTATATTTAAAGATTATCTTAAATAATTCTCAAATAAATTCTCAAATATTTTTAACCATAATATGATATGTATAACATCCGTACGAATCATTTTATTAGTTAAAATGTTTTTAAATATGTATTTAAGACACGATCTTAAATATAAGAATGTACTGTAAACAAGCCTTAATGCGCACTCAGTGCGCACTAGTACAAGCTACCGAATTCGCTATTAAGCAGTAAATGTAAGCAGTAAGCAAATTGACCAATCACAGTCATTGATTCTTCTTACGGTTCAAAAATCAACGACTGTGATTGGTCAATTTGCTTACTTCTTACGTCTTACTGCTTAAGTTTTTCTGTGTGCCACGGCCCTAAAGCCCATTCTACAATTGCGTTAACGTGATTGTAAGTAGTTATAAGTGATTACGACAACCTATCAGAGTAAAGCAATCAGTGAATTAAACATTCGGATTGGTTGACTCTTACGTTCACAACTATGCTTACGCAATTGTAGAATGGGCTTAATGCTGTCTCACGACTGCAAGCAGTAGGTTAAGCTGATGGCACATAGAAAAACTTTAGCAGTAAGACATAAGCAGTAAGCGAATCAGCCAATCACAGTCGTTGATTCTTGGACCGTAAGAAGAATCAACGACTGTGATTGGTCAATTTGCTTACTGCTTACGTCTTATTGCTTAAGTTTTTCTATGTGCCACCAGCTTAAGCCCGTATCAGACTACCGACTGCACAGAGCGACCCGACTGCCGACTACGACTACCGACTCTTAATGGACCAATCACAGTGAGGCGCCGAGTCGGTTATTACTATACTATTTTTTAACATTATTTGAGTTATTTCTTTTATACTTTAATACTTTATTTATACTTTTATACTTTATTACAACTAAACATGTTTAGATAAAAAATGGATGTACAAGAAATATGGGAAATATTTTTTGATCACCCATCTGATGAAGATGATAAGGATAACTTCCAACTTCTACGGGAACATCATATAAAAGTCCCACATTTTTTTGAAAACATTGTCGTAGCATATTCATTGACAGGTAAAAGAATTTGAAATTTTGCTGTATTATAATAATTTATTGTTTTAAGTTTATATAAAAGTTCTTGCATTATATGTTTTGATTACAATAAACTACATTAATATTATTAAAATAGATTTTAAATCTATCTTATTTTTTCATCAATATACTCTAATGGCATAATTTATTGTGGACTTGCATCTGCACGAGTCATATAAAAACAATACTTGCAAATAGGTTAAAACAGTATGACTTTTTACTTTAAGATAATATTTGAAAAATATAATATATATTTTAATGGTTATATAACTTTAATTAAGAATAAATTTTATTAGAAAACAACACCAGATGATTTTATAATCAATAATACAATTTTAAAAAATTATGATCTCGTGTATTTGTCACGGTATTGTTTTGCCTAACCCCCTGCTTGCAATCGTGAGACAGCATTAGGCTGATATTTCACGTGTCGTACGACTAGCTTTTTGGATACGTTCATTGGTTGACGAACAGAGAACCTAGAAATACTCTATTCGCCAACCAATAAACGTATCCGAAAAGCTTGTCGTACGACACGTGAAATAGTACCCTAAGGGTGCCATTACATGAAGCGCGGAAACGCGGAAGATAAAATATTACTAGATCCGCTACGCGTTCCGCGTCTGTTTTGCTTTATGGCTCCTGCACACGGGACGCGGTAATGCTTGCCGCGCGGCAGAAGTTCGCGCGACAGCCAATCAATATGTTTTTCCGTAAGAGCTAGAAGGTTATTACGGAAAGCAGCATATTGATGACTGTCGCGCGAACTTCTGCCGCGCGGCAAGCATTACCGCGTCCTGTGTGCAGGAGCCATTATATTACATGAGGCATATTTTGAGCGGAAAAGCGGTATGGGAAATTATAAAATATTAATTTTTAACAGTATTTATTAATTAAAATGCTTGTATTCAACTGATAAGCTGAAAAGATAAACATATTAGTAAAAATTGCAGTAAATTAAGTTAATACAATTTTTAAAAATGAATACAGATGTTTATTTATCATCTAACCGTTCCGCTTTTCCGCGCAAATTGTGCTCCATGTAATATAAGGAGAAATAAAATCGCGGAACAAGCGCGGAAAAACCTATTGTCACAAGTTATCACAAGTTGTTCAACCTAACCACCGTTACATTAAGACGTGTTTAAACACGGTCGAACCTGATATTTTTTTGGAATTCATACCTTGGTACCTTGGATGAAAAGACAATTGAGAAAAGTTTTGGGCCTTCCGCTTTTCCGCTTTTTTAACGTACAGGAAGAAATGATTCAATTCGCGGAACGCGGAAATCTAGTAAGATTTTGTCTTCCGCGTTTCCGCGCTTTATGTAATGGCACCCTAAGCATTCCAGTGTAGATTGAGTTCACTGTTCTCGCATTAAAAAGATCCAAACGCCGTCTGCTGGAATGAGATAGAACCGAGACGATGACAAGCAGTTGACAACAGTCTACAATTGATATTCGAGTGAAAATGGCGCTCTCCGAAGTGTGTGGTATTAACTCCTTCATCGATTTTAGCTTTTCTCAAGAGAAGGATAAATTTGCCGGAGAGATTGAAGCATATACCAAAAATTTTTCCAACAATCTTCAATTGTCGGTGCCACCGTTCTTCAATGTAAGTGCAGAAATATTGTAAAGTAAATTTGCACTATCATGCAATTACTTAGGTTTATAACTTATATTATTTATATTTTGAGAGATATTAGGTATGCTTTTTATTTGTGTGACTAATGTTAACATAGACATCATCTTAAGATGATACTTTGTGTCAATAAAAAACATGTAAATAGAAAGTATTGACAACTATTATTATATCCATGAATTATCATAACCTATTACAATAAGTAATATTGATAATGCATCAAAAGCTAGTATTAATACTGTTATTAAAAAATTTTTCATGTAATTTCTTATATTTTTTTCTTAAATATAGAGATTATTTTATACTTATGATTTTTTATGTTACTTTATATGTGATTATTTGCATATCGGTATAACAAAATCAATATTATTATGTGAGATAAAAAAATTAAAAAAAGTTTTTGCAATTTATAAGTTTCTATAGGTGCGTTCGAGAAGCTCGCTATTAGCGCTACTCAGCACTACCATGTCATTCTATCCTTGTATATCTAAGGAACAATAAAGATAGAAGAATGTGGTTGCATTAGTAGCGTGCTCCTCGAACGCATCCTGTATTACATATAATATTTATGCTCTTATATTGAAATTTTGAAATAACATTGGTTATTTTAATTCTGTGATTGTGTATTTCTATGTATTTATAGCCAGCTGAAACTCTTGGTCGCATAGCCCAGAGTACTGATGATACTGGCAAGCATCTAAAGATCAAATTTGATCATGGAACCACAACTTTAGGTTTTCAATATCAAGGAGGTATTGTTTTGGCAGTAGATTCACGTGCTACAGGAGGACAGTTTATTGGTAATAATTATATGTTTGTATATATAATATTAATATTAACATATACATGTATTAATATATATCATATATATATATGTGTGTGTGTGTGTGTGTGTGTTAAATACATAAATATTAATAAATATAATAATTATAAATATATATATTAAATACATAAATATAAATAAATGTTTTTTATAAAAACTATTTCATTTATATTTTGTTTTTTTAGGTTCATCCACTATGAAGAAAATAGTAGAAATTAATGACTATCTTCTTGGAACTTTGGCTGGTGGTGCTGCTGATTGCGTCTATTGGGATCGTGTTTTAGCAAAGCAATGTCGCATGTATGAATTGAGAAACAGAGAACGTATTTCTATTGCAGCAGCTAGCAAATTATTATCAAATATGATATATAATTACAAAGGGATGGGCCTGAGTATTGGTAAATGATATTAAAAATAAAAATTTAGATGTATAAAATATACTGAGATTTGTAGATATAAATTTACAGGCATGATGTTGGCTGGTTGGGATAAACGAGGACCAGGACTCTATTATGTTGATTCAGAGGGTACTCGTACTCCTGGAAAAGTTTTTAGTGTAGGTTCTGGATCTGTGTTTGCGTTTGGTGTATTGGATTCTGGTTACAAATGGAATTTAACTGATGAAGAAGCTTATGAACTTGGAAGAAGATCAATTTATCATGCTACACATAGAGATGCATATTCAGGCGGTATTATAAGAGGTTAGTTATAGAATTACAGAGAAAATATATAAGTTATTTGCAAAATTAATTACAGAGTTTTCAACATAGAAAATATTTAGTATTTTATATTACATATTTTTAATATGTATGTTTTACTTTATAGTATATCACATGAAGTCAACTGGCTGGGTGCACATTTCAGATGAAGATTGTAAAGATTTGCACTATGTGTACCTTACTGAGAAAACAGCACAACCGAGTACTTCCCAAGTTTAATATATACATTGTGCGCACCGACTAATTGTTTAAAAAATAAAACAACTTCTATCTAATTTATGAGAAATCTTTGCATTGTGTGCTTTAATATTTTAATTATTATTATATATTTTATAAAAACTTAAACTTAAACTTAAAAATATCTATTCTGAAAAAATACTCAATATGATACTATAATCTCTTAAAGACATTTAAAGGATGTTTTAAAAAAACTGCTAAAAGAAATGTCTTGAAGAGATCTCTGATGGAAACAATTTACTGAAAATACAATATCGTTGAAAATACAATGAAATCGTCGAAAAGAGAAATGAAAGTTATTGAAAAGTTACTGAAAATATTTCATGATGAATCATGATTTTTATTATAAATTTTTATGAAAAGTATGACAAAACAATTTTAAACGAATATTGATGCAAAGTAATGAAAACATTTTGAAATATTTAATATTATGAAATCTACTGAATTTCAATGAAAACTGAGTAAATTATATTGAATCTTTGCTGAAATATTGATGAAAAAATTCGTGAAAACATTTCTCAATAATTTCCAAATTTTTCTGAATTGCGCTAAACCTTGATAAAACAATAATATTTTATAATGAATTGTAAATAAGTACTTTATGTACTTATTATGTATTTATGTACTTTATTTATTGATCAATGAAGAACTTCGTGAAAAAGTTTTGAATAAACCCTTACGAAAAAAATCAAATTTGGATGTAAACACCCAAAAACTAGAGATAAACATCTAAATTTGAGTGTTAATACCCAAAATTGAGTTTTTCGTATCTCTTTCGTAAAGGAATAACAAAATCGTGCTGAATTTCACTGATAATTGATGATGTTAATTACAATTTTATTTTTACAATTTAATTTTTTAAATTTTTCTATATATTAGGATATGAAAACTCTCTTATTGAAATGAAAATTCTCGATGAAAATTACTGAAATATATCGAACTTTATTGAAACATGGAAATCTGACTTCTTCACTATGTTTCAACATAAATTCATGCGATTGTTAATTTGCGTCTAATATTACATTTAGAGCAATATGCATCTAGAGCAATCGTTAATTATCATATGTGATATTTGTATGTAGATTAAAAGAAATACGAAATTTCATATTATTTATAAAGATAGCTTTTTTAATTAGATATATAAGGATGTTTTTAAAAGAATAATTACAAATTTAAAAAAGTACCATAATTATTTTAGTGAAAATATCCATATTTATTGTATACTTCCCACACAGCAGGAATGTCCCAAATATATCATAGGGTTATCTTGAAGATATCACATATTCCAAATATATCTTTAAGATGTCTCTATGATATATTTTGGACACCTCTGCTGTGTGGGTTCTATTACAATAAATATAAATATTTCCACTAAAATAATTATGGTACTTTTTAAGTTTGTAATTATTTTTCTGACATTGTTGCAATCCAACATTTTTTCAACATTGATTCAATATTGCTGTGCTTGTTCAGAAAAGACGATAGAAACGCACAAGTGATTGATCAACCTGTATCCTTCTTTATTCTAAAATATCTCTAATTTCATGTCAAGTTCATTTTAGCTTTTATTTAAAGCTTGTGGTTCTGGTGAATGGGTGTATATCAGTTGGACACGGGGCAATTGGACACAGTCCAATCACAAGTCGCTGTTCCAAGGGACCCTACAAATGTCTTTAATCACACGGTGCTGTGATTGGCTGTGTCCAAGTGCACCGCTCCCCTGGTCAATCACTTACGACTCTTCGAGCGCAAGCTCATTGGTCATTGCGACCAAGTGACGGACCCTTTGGGTTCTAGCGGACCCTTGTGGTTCTGGCGGGTCTTTTACGACTCTTCGAGCGCAAGCTCATTATTTATCATAACAAGCAATGCAATTCATACGAGACAATCGAGCTCTTCGAACAAGGCTTGAATTGAATATATTATTACATTATTCGTTGGTTTTATTTGAAACTGTTATATCAAATTCTAGAGGTTTCTTGCCATACAAACAAGAGAGGGTGTATATCAGTTGGACACGGGGCAATTGGACACAGTCCAATCACAAGTGGCTGTTCCAAGGGACCCTACAAATGTCTCTAATCACACGGTGCTGTGATTGGCTGTGTCCAAATGCACCGTGTCCAAGTGCACCGCTCCCAACAAGAGAATCTTACCGCCTCAACGCGCGCTAAAGGCATCACCCACATAGCACAAAACATCTCAGCAATGTCTCCATAATTACAATATTATTACAAATATCATTTTTAAAATATTACATTTGAGATATTCTTAGGATATTGTACGGATATTTGAAATAGAATATTTCGTACGAAATATTTTAAGAATATTCCATTTGAAACATTACATTTGTGTTGTTTTTTAAATATTCTGGAGATCTGTTGCTACCTGTTGCTAAATAACGCAAAGTGGTAAAGTGATAGACCAACAATTCAGAGATGTCTCGAGTTCAAATTCGCGTCCGACCAGTGCTAAGTGAATTACCACACAGCACGTAATATTGCAGAAATATTGCAGTGATATTGCAATATAGTGGTAATATTACATATCACAGTGAAATATTACAGAAATATTACTGAAATATTGCACCTTTACATATGTCATTGAAATATTACAGAAATATTACTGCAGTATTACATACTTATATCATTGATATATTACACATTTATATCATTGAAATATTACACTTATATATTTGCAATATTATAGTTAAATTATAGCAATATATCATATTATAAATAGAATGGTGACATCAATTGACATATCAATTTCTTTGACATTATAGACATCATTAAAACGTTATTACGGCGTCATTTGAAGTCACTTTCCCTTACAGAAATAGTATTTTTTAAAAGTTTCTTTTAAAATTTAGTATTTCGATTTGTTTAATTTGGATTTTCTTGGATTTTTTAATTTTTTTTGTTTGGATTAATCATTTTAACATTTTGTTAAAAATCTAAAAGTAATTATCACTGGTTCACTACATTACATCAATATTTATCGCATATCGAATGTTGTTGCATTGTTTCAATATCTATCAGTAAATTATCCAACAAACACTAAGTAAAAATTATATAACTATTATTTGATGTTTGCTAAGTATATTATAATGTACTATGAAAACTATAAGGATACATTTTATAAGCATGAATTATAAGAACATCGTTGGAGTCATCAGAGTCACCGCGTGCGCGCTCGATTGTCAGGTTATTAAGCAACAGTTTAATGCGGTCAGGATATTGATGGGTGACCCGTGGTTATATACTGCTTGGGATCGAAATTATCGCTGGAGGATTTCACGAAAGTTTGGAGTGTATTTGACAACCTTCGATACGTAGTAGTTTATGAAACATGAGAAAACTAGGAATATATAAGTATAGTTTTTTAAATATTATGATTTTCTCACAGTAATATCATTGTAATTTTTACCATTATATTACTGTGATGCATTTGCCGCGGACATTTTAATATTACTGTGATATCTTAGTAATATTCCAGCATTTCTGTTATATTCCCTGGTAATATTGCAATGAAAATATAATATTGTGATATTTCTGCGATATTACGTGCTGTGTGGGTTTTTAAATGTGATACAGTGTTGAGATTTTTCGATTATTACAAGAATAATTAACTGCGATTGGACAATTTCTTACAGATTACATAAGTTACCGGCTCCGATCTTCATAAATCAGCCTTTAGACATCGCTAATGTAATGTTTCAAATGGAATAGTTCTACAATATTTTATTTCAGATATTCTGAAATATTTCCAATGACAAATCTCCAGAATGTTTCACAAACATCGCAAATGTAATGTCTCAAATGGAATATTTCTAGAATATTCTATTTCAGATATTCTGAGATATTTCCAACGACAGATCTCCAGAATATTTCAGAAATATCGCAAATGTAATGTTTCAAATGGAATATTTTTAAAATATCTCGTACGAAATATTCTATTTCAAATATCCTTATCCACACAATATAAAACGTCTCAGCAATATCTCAGAAATATTACAAATATTATTTTTGAAACATTTTATTTGATATATTCTTAGAATATATTCTATTAATATTTTAAATAAAATATTTCGTATAAAATATTTTAGAAATATTCTATTCGAAATATTACATTGGAAATATTGTGGAAATATTTTGGAGATCTTGCACTATAAATATTTCAGAATATTTGTAATAAAATATTCTAGAAATATTCCATTTGAAACATTATCATTTGCAAAGTTTTTGAAATATTCTGGAAATCTGTCGCGAGAAATATCTCAAATTAAAAATTCTAGAAATATTTTACTTAAAACATTACCTATTGTACAAATTTCCATTATACAGAGTGTCCCGAAACTATCGGATGTTATTTCAATGGCAGAATCTTTAGAACATTTTAAAACGAAAACTTTGATACAAAAATGTCGAGACTATAATAGTTTTCAAACGGGAAGCGATTATATTTCACCAATAATAGAGCTGAGATTTCGCGCGCTCAGGCACGTCGAAATGACAAGTGATAAAGGTGCTCTTATGAATGTCACTTTTTTCATGATATTATGATCATTGTATAAATTTACAATAACATTGTCATAATATGTTTTACCGCTTTTCTACGCATTGCATTAGTATATTTTTTATATACATTAATATATTTTTTATACTAATAATAATAATAGTAATAATAATAATAATAATAATAATAGTTGCAAGACATCTTAAATATGATTCAAGTAAAAATAAAATATTTAACTTAATCAGTCAAAGTGTCGATCAATTATTACCAT